ATTAGTCCTTTGGACTAATCTTTTCCTTGTATCCTGTTCTCTTCGTTCTCCCTTGCTCCGAAGGGGTGAGACCAGTGGAGCATCTTAGATGGCTGCTCCCAGGCTTTTAAGACCCCAGATGCTACTCACCAAGGTAGAATGTAGAACATTGTCTTTATAAACTGTGTTATGCCAGTTGAGCTAGCTCTTCCCTGAGACCATGGTCCCCACAGCCCTCCACCCAGCAATTCAGTCCCTCAGGGAGTTTGGATGTGTCTATGGAGATTCCATGACCTTTCCTTGTACAAGTTGTGCTGGTTTCCCCGGTATTGTGTCCTGTCTCACCCTTCACCAAAGTTACCACTTCTCTATTGTTTTTTTTAAATTTTTTTTTATTGTACTTTAGATGAAGGTTTACAGAAAAAAGTTTCTCTTGAAACAGTTACTATACATATTGTTTTATGACATTGGTTAACAACCCACTCTCCCTTCTCGACCTTGGGTTCCCTATTACCAGCTTTCCTGTCCCCTCCTGCCTTCTAGTCCTTGTCCCTGGGCTGTTGTGCCCCATTAGTCTTGTTTGTTTTATGGGGTGTCTAATCTTTGGCTGAAGGGTGAACCTCAGGAGTGACTTCATTACTGAGCTAAAAGGGTGTCAGGGGGGTCATACTCTTGGGGTTCCATGAAAATTTCATTTGACAAATGACTCTCGTGCTAAAAAGATTTGATCACCATTGACCTACACTGTGCAAAATGCCCAAATATTAGGAAAATCCAGATTGTCACAAAGCCAGAGCCTGAAAATTTGGTTTTCCTATGAAATAATAGTTTTTGAAGTGGGTAGTTGCCTGAGATGTTTAAAGTTGATGGAGTTAATTTTACACAGCAAAATTTATTAAGAGTCCTGGCAGTGCACTGGTTAAAGTGCTCAAATGCTAACCGAAGGTCATCGGTTCGAACCCACCAGCTGCCCTGTGGGAGAAAGATGGGCAGTCTGCTTTTACAAAGATTACAGCCTTGGAAACCCTATGGGGGCAGTTCTACTTTGTCCTATAGGGTTGCTATGAGTCAGAATCGACTTGACAACTGTTTTTTGTTTGTTTTTTAATAAAGAAAGTGAGTCTAATTGGCTCCTCTGGGTTAAAATGTAACCAATTTCAAAGTTATGCATTATTTTTATAATAACTACTCATTCGTTTACTTAAAAATTCAGAACAGAATTAGCTATACGTATTACATATTTGCAACTTCCTTTGTAAGATGTACTATAAGCATAGAATTCAAAGTCAAAAGAAGAATTTCACTACTAGTAGTTAGGAAGGAAATTCCTTCTTCAAGTCATTACTATCATATATATAACCACCTCATTAGTGTTGTGAGAATAAATGGAATAGTGTATGTGGATGTAGCAAACTACTATAAAAATTATGGTTAACGTCATTATTCTTAGGTTATATTTCCCTGCTTTGGACAACATCGTGGTCTTGGTTTCATAGAACTCCTAAATAAGTAATCAGTGTAAAACTATTTTGAAGAGTCTGAAGCAGTCATACCAATGTGAAGAAGCAATTAACATTCAAACTCTAAAGCCTTTAAATCATTCCAATGTTACTATACAAAGGACATATGCTAGTTACAAGTAAACTGATCACAGTCTCAATCTATGTTAACTGTTCTGTCACAGTATGTCATTTTTCATAAATGAAATGTGACAACATATAGATAATAGTAGTTTGAAAGGTCTTCTGGAGGTTCTTAATATATTTTTAAATTATAATGTTAATACCGAACTCTTACAAAGATGTTTTATGATTACACCACAGCAAGAAAATGTTTACTGGGACAAAGAAGATGTGCTGAAAGCCAAGTGAATTACTATAATTAAATATATTTAGCTTATTGACATTTTTCTTAAAACAAAGAGAGTTGGGGCACATCCACTGAAGTCTGGCATTCTGGCTCCTCTGTTACAAACTGGAATCAAATTTTCAGAATTCCCATGATCTTGAAGGTTTTGTCTGTTTAAGCTTTAGAGAGCTTTGGTTTTTCTTTTGGCCACTAGATTTTTCAGGAAAAATTCACCTGTTTAGGAAAAATGAAAACACAATATTAATTTAAAGTAAATAAATTAAATCCATTAATACCAATTTAAAGTAAATAAGTGTCTATTATTTCACAATTAGACTTCAGTGTTTCCAACCGCTTTCAGCTTCACCACCTACATATATTTTTAAGAAGACTTTTGTATTTGGCATTTCTCTTTTCTCAAATCCCATGGCAATATTTATCCCCTCTAGCATCACATAGGCCCTATATCTTTGGCCCTTTTTCTAACAATAATGATTAGTCATTGTTCTTTTCTTAAAAAAAAAAAAAATCTTATCACTACAGCCTCTACAATTATTCTTTCTAGTAACTCAGTATTATAAAGGGCCACCCTATTGTGTCTATTGGTCTGCTTCTGTATATTTATTCCACTTCATGTGCAATATCTTATTCCTCATCACTGACAAAAGAATTGCTGTTGGCAAAGTCATTTCAGAGAGCAATTCTGCTGCATTATTAGCCTGGATTGATGTTTATAAAACAGACCTCGTTGCAGTTGAGCAGATTCATCTGATGGAATCTCTTTAGCTTATTCCCCTCTAGGGAAGCCAGAGATCTTCATTTATAATGGACCTTCCCCCACCCCCGAAGTTGTGCCTGTGCAGTCAGCTGCTTAGAGGGGCACATTAACTTTTTCAGGCCATTAGGGTTCCATTTAGTCTATCATTGTTGCAGCACAGTTTCATTGCTTATCGGGAGAGCTTGGCACTGGAGGCCTGATTTTATGAGGAGTCTGATTAACTTCTGTCATCTTACACATGTGAGTAGAATTGTGATGACCATATCCGTACACAGTCACCAAGTATCCCAAAGCTCATAACCCAGCAAAGTAATGGAGAGAGTAATCCATGTTGCTCCATACCTCAGCTAAATCGGGTAGGAGGAGAACCAACATTTTCACACTTTACCATCATCTGAGTTTAATGTTCCAAATGCCAGAATTCTACCTTTTTCTAGTAATTTGAAAAACATTTAAAGGTTCCCAATTCACTTCCTTACAAATGTTAAAAATTTTCCTTAAAATAAATACACATTCCTTTCAAATGACATCACTCTACTTGAACCAGGCTAGAAGCCGATATTGGTTCTATCCTTTACATATTTTAAGTCTGCCAGCAGCACTGCTTGAAGAATACATCCCTTATAATTACTGATTGTCAAAGTCCCCATACTCTGTCAGTGTTGAATCAAATTCTTAGGTCTTATAACCAGGATAAGCTGTTAGTTCATTAGAAAGTCTTAATTTCTTCAGAGGAACACACTAATACTTGAACATTACTTTTTACAAGTAGAATTTATACCTATTTAAATATATATATGATTTAGACTCCAAGATATAAAACAGTCATTTAAAAGATCATTAAGAGTAATAACACATGTTTTAGGTATATGCAAAAACAACTAGTTGTTTATTCTTAAAAAAATTTTAATTGTTTAGTCCAACTGACAGGGGAAACACCATAAACAGTTTTTAGATTAAATTCAGTCATCAGATATGTTCTCCCGCTTCTAATGGCCATCATAACATTACTTGGAAAATGCTTCTACTTTCATAAATCAGCTCAAGCTCCTAACTAAAATAAGAGCTAAAGTTCCAAAAGAGAAAAATTGCATTGTAGCTAATAACAACACTAAAAATTTCTACAGGGAAAAATAATCTTACAGATTTTCTTCTGTTGCCTCTGGGGGGAAAACACAAAGAAATTAATGGTGCAAGCAGCAATGCTATCCAATAGATACTTTTAAGGGTTTAAATTAATCTGAAATTGGAAGTTTGGAGATGTAGCTGGCATTATTTCCAAATGAATATACATTTTTCAGAAAAGTGTATTATATGCTTGACTGATATTTGTTATTTCTGAATAAGCTATACTACTGGAATCCACACGCAGAATAAACTGATTATTTCTGCCTTCATCATTGCAGCTGAACTATAAACAGGGAGATTCTTTATTTAAGGAACAAATTAGATTTAAGAAAAACTTCCCCTTAATATAACCCCCATGGAACAAAGCTCCCAAGGATGCCCAGAAAAGAAACTCTTTTCTTAAAAAAAAAAAAAATCAAGGACAACCACAGCTATTATAATTTACCCTAGAGGTTTAGTGATTTGGAGTAGACCATAACATGGAAAGTTATGGTCTAAATAAAACCATTCCCTGCTGTTTAACTTACCTGCTTTATATGAAGAACGCACCAGAGGGCCACTTGCAGTATAAAGAAAGCCAAGTTCATTTCCTACTTTTTCCCAGTATTTGAACTTTTCAGGAGTAATGTATTCTTCAACCTGGATTTAAAGAATTACTTCTGATCAGATTCTAGAATTCACCTGAATCATTCTGACTCTACAGAAAATCTATGCCAATGGATACAGAATAGTTTTCACTTCCTAATTTGTCAGGCCCCCCAGACTCTCCTCCTCCTCACTGACTAGCTACTAGTAACTTGTTGGCAACTCTATCAGAACATAATTCCAGGGAATTAGAGAGGAGGGGAAACATACCAATTTTGCACTACATTAGCTATTGCAAAGGACGGAGAAAGAAGATGAGATTATACATCTATTAGATCTGTATTATTCCTTCATTGACTAACAGGTATAACCAAGAATTAATAACATCTATAATATTCTTGAAGACAAGGCTATGTCTTACTCATCTTGTATCTTCTGTTTAGCATTGTGTCTGGCAAATGGTCACTATTCAACAAAAGTTTCTTGAATGAATAAACATTCAGTATAGAAATAGAAAGACTGGCTTCTGTTTTTCACTTCACCTCTGGCTCTCATATAACTCTAAAACAAATTTCAAGATCACCAAGTGTGAATGAATGCAATTTCCCAACTTTTAAGTTTTTTTCTTGTAAGTTCGCTTTAGCCGTACAAGTTTAGAGACAGGAAACAAGTGCCAGTTGGGCTGCTTTCTGCAGATAATAAAGTGAAAACTGGGACTCAGAAATATACATGGAACATTATACTAAAAAGCCAGAAACTTCTTAATTTTACCTGTGGACAATAAATACTTGATTCAAATTACCAATAAACTTTTTGTAATATAAGATAGTTACACCTTAAGGTGGCGCTTTGTTGGCTGCATATATTGTCCTAAAGTCAAACAGTCCACATCTGCTTCACGAAGTGCTGTTGGGAAAAAAAGCACACATTGCATTAGCAGATGTTATTACAAGTTAAAATTAGAGATCTAAACATAATTTTCGTGAGGAATATTTCAGAACAGTGTGACCTTTTGCTGTCTATAATTCTCATGTTGAGGAATAAGACTACATTTATTAATTCAAAAGGATTTATGTGCCAGAGACTAAAGTAAGGATTGAGAACAAAGGAGGACTAAGACAGTCATGTGGGGTGATAGACACAAGGACAGATACCTCTAATACTATGGAATAAATGCTAAAATAGGAGTAGAGGGTGTTTTAGAGCAGGAGTCTGTTAGGCAAAAAAAGATAAAGGGAATAGTATATACAAAGGCCTAAAAATACCCAAAATATAGATCAAACATGCTGAATTAGGCTTTTAATACATGTACAAGATATGCTCTGGTGGATGTGATTTGATCTCTGACATATCAGAATCTTTCTAAAAACAAACTGTATGCATTGCTAAAGAACAACCTTTAATTACCATTTGAACTTACTACTCTTTGAATCAATAAATAACTACAAGTAGGCTAAGGACCCTTAGGTAAAATAAACAATTTAATGTTTCAAAATTTAAAATCTCCAAGAATTATAAAGCAAATAGGCTTATGAGACTAACGTTCAGCAAAGTCCAAAGCACATGTTATGTGACAACGCTACAAGCAAGCTTTTCCTCAAAGACCTGGACTGGGCTTACTCATCTTTGCATCACTGGTGTATACCAGAGTGCCTGGTACTTGACTGGCTCTAAAAAACTGCCCAATGGCTAAATGAGAAAGGTGAATGAAATCATGTTTTTCCTTGATAAAAGGGTGAGGAATAAAATGAAATACAAATTTCATATCCTGAGCTCCATTCATGCCATTCAAAGAAGTTCTATGAAAACACACTTCCTTTCCTTTCTATGCTGCCATTTACAACCATCTGCTGTATTTTGTTCTATTGGCACTTACACTAGGACCCGGAGGAAGCTTAAATTTAACAGGGCCTTCAAAGTGGGGTTCCTGCTATCACTCAAATTAAATGGGAAATAGTTATCACTTTTCAGGTTTTTTACCTTTCATTGTTGCATATACTTGCTCATCATTCTCCCCTAAACCCAACATTATAGATGTTTTAGAAATAACATCAGGCCGAACTTCCTTGGCATGCTTCAGTACACACAGAGACTGGTCGAAATTGGCCCGGGGATCACGAACTTTCCTTGAAAACAGTAGGGCTGGTGTCAGCAAAAATAACCAGAAGTTCAACCAAGAACAGTTATGCAAGCAACCTGAAAGACTAGAAAAGTATATTCTGGACAACATATAACATCAGATTCAACGGTGGCATTTGTGCACAAATGTCTGTTAATTTAGGAAAGAAGACAAGGCCTCGCTGGGCCTCCCAGCTTCCTCTACTTTTAAGCCCTGTTAAGCCTAGTGCAGAGAATAAAATGGAAGAAAAACACTTTTTTGTTTATGAATTACTGAGAAACCAGAATTCAGAAGCTGAAAATGAGTGTAAGGGGTAGTCAAGAGAAAAGGGTAAAAGAATAGAAGTAAGAAAATCTCAATATTGAACAAAGAAAAAAACTATTTAACCTGAACCCACATTTTGGAAGTCTGAAACTTTTATGTTTGTTTCTTTTCTAAAGACTTAGCTGCCCTCTGCTGGTGAGTACACAACATCGACATCTCTTAGGGAAAGAAGTGCTCGATTCTGGAATTTTCACTGAAAGGATGTTTCTTAAGTGAAACCAGGGAAATTGGTACCCATTGGTGGTGGTATTATAAGATATGACAGGGTTCGAACAGACTTTGTGCCAGACTTCAACAGCAGCCAAACCATCCTGGCTTAAATGACGACAAGGCCAAAAGGCAGAAAGCTACTGATGTTAAGCTAGCTAACATTCATTTGAATTCTAATACAGATTTATTTAGTCTAAATGAGTTAGGCTTTTTTTTTTTAAATCAGAGACTAATTGACAGGAAGAGAGGAAACAAATTTATGAATTTAAGAATAACCACAAAATTGACAATACAGAAAGCAATTACTTTTCTAAACGATTTCTCCACTGAATTTAAGCTATTCTTTTAAATGATTATGATTTAGTGGAAATGCTGGTTATTGTTTACTATAACTTTTTTTCAAGTTCTTGTAAAGAATAATGTGTAGAAGCTAATAAAAATCACTGTTAAGTTGTTTACTAAAATTAAAGGAAATGAATAAGGTCCAATATTAATCTTGTCTGAAGATTAAAATAATTTCATTCTTCTGAAATTTGAATCTGGTCATTAACGTGGAGTAACAGTCTATAATTAGTCTTAACTATCAAAAAATATAATGAAGAGTAAAGAAACATAGTATCTACTTTTTGAAGAGATTTAAAATACATTTGAATGATACCAGTTTTTCTTCTGTATCATTTCTTGCATATATTAGTGCCAAATGTATTTTTAACAGCCTTTTCTTTAGAATTACAATTGAAGCAATTGCTCTTGTGTAATTTTTTTCTTTTTGATACCTGTACTTTGATAGAATCCCCAGTGAAGCCATCTGGTCCAGGACTTTTTTTTGTTAGGAGATTTTTGACTACAATTCAATCTCTTCACTTGTTATCGGTCTGTTGAGATTTTCTATTTCTTCTTGAGTCAGTTTAGGCAGATTATGTGTTTCTAAGATTTGTCCATTTCATCTAAGTTATCAAATCTGTTGGTGTACAGTTGTTCACAGTATTTTGTTATGATCCTTTTTATTTCTTTTGGCTCAGCTGTAGTGTCTCCACTTTCATTTCTTACTTTGGTTATTTGCATCTTCTCTCTTTTTTTGTCTAGTTAATTTTATTGGTCTTTTCAAAAAACCAACTTCTGGTTTTGTTAATTCTCTCTACTGGTTTTCCATTCTCTATTTCATTTGTGAAAACTGTACTTTGAAAAAATTTTACCAGCACTTACAATATACTATTAAGATGAAAAAAAAAATGCACATTGTGTGTGTGTGTTTCAAAAGATACACACACGTATTAAATATATACTAAGGTGTTAATAACAGATATTACTGGGTGGGAATACTGTGTTTATGTTCTTTTTGTTGCTGATATTTCCTGATTTTTCTGTAATAGGCAAACAGTGCTTTTCTTTAAAAAAGAAAGGAAAAGTTCACTTTGAAACAGTCAATTGCAAAGTTCTCCCCTGAAAAATATGAGAAAAAATAACATATCTGACTCTCCTAACTTCCCCCATATTACTCTGTACACGTAATCACCTCTGTAATTCTGGGACTGTTTCTACATTATGTGCATACACATCTAATCCTGACACAGCAACTTTCTCTATTGCTTTAAGATCTCCTCGGAAATCAGGGGTGAGACATTCCACAAGAATTTTTGGATTCCTAGAGAGAAAAAAAGATAAGTATCAAACTGAGGAAAAGAATTGATGTAACTATTGCTCAAAACTGAAACTTTCAGTACTCATTCAGTATCAATTTAAAAAAGTACTCAAAGTTTAGACTAACACTCAACTATGAGTCCATAGATAAGTTCAAGACTCTGAACCCCTAAAATTTTCTGTAAATATCTACTTGTATGTACAAATATGCTCTTTTTGAGAAACAGTCAAATAACTTCCAGCAGATTATCAGAAACATTTATAATCCCCCCAAAAAGTTACTAACTATTGCTTTAAGGTAAAGATCCTAAATAAACTGAATTCATATGGGACAAAAAAGGTCCTTAAATTGCACATGCAAATACAAAACCAAGTACCTTTCCTTTAAGTGTGATACAGTCTTTGCAAAGTGCTCAGCTCCACCATCAGGCATATCTAGAAACAAAAGAATCCACTGCTCAAGATGATGTCACAATTTTGTAAGAGGCAGTTTCTGAAAGAGGCCATAACACACTAACCATCTCGGTCCACAGATGTCAGAACAACATAATCCAGACCCCACTCTGCAATTGCCTTTGCAGTATTGAAGGGTTCATTGGCATCCAGTGGCGGTGGCTTTCTTGCAGTCTTAACAGAACAAAATCTGCAACCTCTTGTACATGTATCACCCATCAACTATAACAGAGATGTTACAATTTAAAGCAAACGAATAGATGATCTTCAAGAACATAATTTTGAAAGAATAAGACAAGTTGCAAAGAATGTGTACAGTTTGATTCTGTTGATAAGAAGTTTGAAACATCCAAAACTAAACAATATATAGTTAAGGAATACAAATATATGTGACAAATCTAGAAAGAAAACAACAAAAAAAGGAAACAATAACTCAGAATTAAGAACAGTATTAAGGGAAGAGGGGAGGGATAGGATCAGGAAGGGCCACACAGGAGGATTAGAAGATAAAGCTAATGTAGTACTTTCAAAATGGAGGTGAGTATCTGGGCGTCTGTTGTACTGTTATTTTTTACAGCCTACAGGGTTTATAAACATTCTTTGGTATTTGCTCAATAATCAATACAAATGACCTTAAAAGAAATAAAACATACAATTGCTAAACAGATTAGTGTACAGTCTCTGGGAGTTAAACAGAAGGCACAACTCTTTCTGTTAAATAGATGAAACAGAAAACACATAAAAAGATAAGCAATCATAAATAACATTTCCAAACACTAATAAAAGAGAGCTCTCAAAGTAGCACATGACTAACTGCCAGACAGATGGAAGAATCAACAATAGGCTTATTCTGAGAAGGGTGAGATCATAACAGGTTAGATTATTCTGTCAGGTTTTTTTAATTCATATTGCTCATAAACTCATATGTTATGAAAAATCTGATCAGAGATTCATAATGCACATTTTGAATTCCCCAGTGAAGCCATCTGCAAGACATGAAATATTTCCTTTCAGTTTCTAGACTAAAAAGCTTCAGTGTTTGAGGTTGGTCTTACCATGATTGTGGCTGTGGCTGTGGCGTACTCTCCGCCTCCCCAACACTCTCCAATATTGGGACAGCGCGCTTCCTCACACACCTGTAAGCAAAAGAAACTAAATATAATAAAGTTGAAAACTTTCATGAATTGAACAACCAGTGACTAGATACTTTAATCTGCTCGTTCTTCAAACATATTTACCAAAAAATTCACTATTCAAACAATGCTGTTAAACTGCCAATTCATATGCATATTAAAACCCGTTGCCATCAAGTCGATTCTGACTCAGACTCATAGCGACCCTACAGGACAGAGCAGAACTGCCTCATAGGGTTTCCAAGGAGCACCTAGATTTGAACTGTAGACCTTTTTGGTTAGCAGCCGAACTCTTAACTACCACCCATGACACCACCAGGGTTTCTATATGCATTGTGTATATATGTATGTGTATGTATGTACGTGTATATGTGTTTATATATGCATATTAGAATCCCATTTTTAAATTAAAAGCCTATATGAATGTGTATATTCTATATATGCAAATAAAAAGTCTAGAAGTTTGAACCATTAAAGTGGTGTGGTTAACACTTGAGATTGTGTATGTGACGTACTTTCACATTTTATACTCTTTCTAATAAGCATGTGTTTCATTTGTAATATAAAACAAATGTTATATGTTACAACAACAACAAAAAAAACCTTTTTCCCCGAGTCGTAGAAAAAAACAACACATCTTTTTTTTGGACTATTAGATAAGAGGTTAAGAAATACAATTACTTTTTCTCTTTTGCAGGGAAAATGATTCTAAATGTATTTCCATTACTGATAGTAATATAACACTAAATACTTATACTTTCCCTGTTTTGTTATTTATATATTCAGTAATAACTTTTAAGTTACATATACTTAGAAACACTATGGTTTTTGGTTAAGAGGGATCATTAACACTTTAACACTTACTGTATGAAGATTTAAATTCCGCAATGTATTTTTCAGCTTATTGTAATTTTTCCCTATGGGAATCTCTGTCTTTAGCCATGGAGGTAGTCTTAACCTGAGGAAAACCAAATATAACCATCTGTTAACAAATATACTGCCAAATAATCACACAGCTTTGATGTTACTTTGCTCTATCACAATTCCTAGTTAAGAATTTTCCCCATGATCCTGGATTATAATTTCTGTCATAAGAGTAAGCAAATCAAATTTAGACTTGCTCAAACTAGAAAACAGTGATAACAAAGCCTGATAGGGCACTATTCTCATGTCTACCTTTTGCAAAGGCACAGTTGATAAAAGACTGACTAATAAAAGAATGAAATGTTTTTGAACATCTCATTCCTTAATGAATAATACTGCCAAAAAGTACTATATTTGTTCAGATTAAAGAGAAATCTCAACAGTGCACTATCTGCTTTACATTCTAGATTCTATGATGGTTTCTAAATGGAAAAAGGAGTCCTGGTGGCTCAAACAGTTAAGAGCTTGGCTGTTAACTGAAATGTTGGCAGTTCGAATCCACCCAGCAGCTCCACAGGAGAAAGACCTGGTGACTTGCTTCTATAAATATTATGGCCAAGTCTGAGGTCTTAAAAGCTTGTGAGTGGCCATCTAAGATACTCCACTGGTCCCATCCCATCAGGAGTGACGAAGAATGAAGAAAACCAAAGACACAAGGGAAAGATTAGTCCAAAGGACTAATGGACCACAACTACCACAGCCTCCACCAGAGTGAGTATAGCACAACTAGATGGTGCCTAGCTACCACCATCAACTGCTCTGACAAGGATCACAACAGAAGGTTCTGGACAGAGCAGGAGAAAAATGTAGAACAAAATTCAAACTCACAAAAAAAAAAGACCAGACTTACAACAAAGACTGGAGAAACCCCAAGAGTATGGCCCCTGGACACTCTTTTAACTCAGCACTGAAGTCACTCCTGAGGTTCACCCTTTAGCCAAAGACTAGACAGGCCCATAAAATAAAAAATAATACATGTAGCTCAACCATGTATATGAGACTAAATGGGTACACCAGCCCAGGGGCAAGGACGAGAAAGCAGGAGGGGACAGGAAAGCTGGACCAATGGAAATAGGGAATCCAAGGTCGAGAAGGGGATAATGTAGACATGTCACAGGGTTGGCAACCAATGTCACAAAACAATATGTGTATTAATTGTTCAATGAGAAACTAATTTGCTCTGTAAACCTTCATCTAAAGCACAATCAATTAAAAAAAAAGACTAAAGCCAAGGAAACCCTAAGGGACAGTTCTACTCTGTCATATGGAGTCACCATCAGTTGAAAATGACTCGAAGGCACCTAACAGCAACAGAAACTAAATGGAAAAAAGCTAAAACTTGGAGTGGAGTCTAAGCATCCTCAGGTTCTCCTTGACTTCCACCGACCCCACTTGTGATCGAGAAATTGTTGGATAAAATGCCTCCAAAACTAGTTTGCCCTCTGCACAAAATTCCCTCACCATTCTTTTGAATTAAGGCATGGAATCTAGAGAAAGTTACATATAAATTGACTGGGAGAAGCAAGTAACAACTAAAAATTTATCAAGGTCCAAGTAGCAAGGTGATAACTTTGACTCTTAAGAAATTAGATGCTGGGCAGAAAATAGGAGATGGTTGTGGAGAATGTTTAGGGCTCCTGGAAGAGGTCCTAGGAAGCTTGAAGAAAAGCTGTCAAAAGGACTGAGAAAAGAATTCCAACACCTTCATTTACTTACTTGCTCTATTGAGGTTTCATCTGTTAGCACTTCTTTCTAATGAGTTCGGCTAAATTTAACAAGTCTGAAATTAAAAAGAAATACTCTAGCCCTTGCTTATATCTGGAAATAATGTGTAATGAAGGAATGACACATTAAAATTATCTCAAAATTTCAATTACCTTTCTCCTTTCTGACGTTTTAAGATTCCTTTATAGTCATCCCAAGTACTCTTATCTGCAAGATCACCAGATAAAAAATCTTGAAGGTCTGGTCCATTCTGTAAAAATTCCTTCTTTTTATCTGGCAAGGAACTTAACGTTCTGACTGGGCTGCATAAATACCTTCCAAATACCTAGAGAAAGAGTTCATTATACTATTTAGCTTACTTAGTGGCATCCGGAATAGTTTAGTTTTAACCCATTATAGCACCCAAAACAGAGGGTAAAGCCAGAGAACTGACTTGGAAATTACATCATACTATTTAGAAGCTCTAACTGTGTAGGAGCTTAGAATCTAAGATTAAAGATGACTCAAGGAGAACAACCCAAACCAAAAGAAGAATCGGAGTTAACTGTTTACTGCTAAATTTAGGAAAAATTTGGAAACCTTTGGATCTGGCTAACATATGTCACATTGTCATGTACCCCACTTAACAGTCTTTCCTTAAGTCTAACCTGTAATAACTGGAGAAGGTACCACAGCTTTGGATTTTCTATCCGACTTGCATTGCGAACATTTAAATTTGCAATAAATCTTTCTGTTTAGGCTCTTGATAAGCATAAGTGCTAAACAGAGAGGAAATGCCCAGTTGGTTTCAGAGAACTGAAAGGAGGAAAAACAAATCTAATGTTTTTGTTTTCTAGTTTACATTGTTTCTGTAAACTAGAAAATAAACAGTACAACGTTCAAGAGTCATGTAATACAAAGGAACTTTCAACAATTCAAAAAGAGTGCCTGTCAGGGTGTGGCACGATTGCTGCTGCACTTGTCCATGTCTCCTGCTAAAGTCTAGAGGGAAGGCTTGTGTACTCAGCGCCCAAAGCGGTGTCGAGTACACAGTAAGAGCCCGATTGTTGTTAGTTGCTGTCAGTTGATTCTGACTCATGGCGACCCCTTGTGTGCAGAGTAGAACCGCTTCATAAGGTTTTCAAGGCTGTGACCTTCAGGAAACAGATCGCCAGGCCTGTATTCTGAGGTGCCTCTGGGGGGGTTCGAACCGCCAGCCTGTCAACCTTTGGGCTACTAGTCCAGCCCTTAACCATTTGCGCCACCCAGGGACTCCTCTGGAGGCCCATAAAGAGTACTAATTTGAAGTGCTCATGCAGTGCCTCAATAAATATAGCATACAAAGCACTGTGATAAGCAGAAAACAAGCCCTTAGCGCTAGTCTAGAAATATCCTCAATGGACCAATAACAGAGGCTCTACCACAGGGAACTGTAAGGAGAAATAAATGAGATACTACATGAAAAATATTCAGAACTTATCATCGGACATTCTGAGGGGATAAAGGCTAGGAGCCCCATATCCCACGGCACACCCTGCTCGTCCTGCCGCTCACCTGTGGTCGCAGAGTGCGGGCGGCGCCCCCGCAGCGTAAAGACATCCCCTTTTTTGGCTTAGTAGGGTCCAGAGCCCGAGAGATAACTGATTCCCGGGAAAAGACGTATCGACCAACCGTCGCTCGATTTATGACAACGCATTCGAGACATCACAGACTCGATGGAAGTTGAGCTGCTCTGCGATTGGCTGCTTTTAGCCTTAGATGCGTCGCGCACTCATGACGCAATACGCAGTCCCCCCACCCCTTACGGGCTACAAACACGTGATGACGAAAGTCGCTCTCTCTTTGCCGCATCTACTGCGAGGTGAGGATGATTCTGGCCATGATGGGCTCCGGGAATCCGAAACCATCGGCTCGGGAAAAGTTGGGGGCGCAAGTCTGGTGCGCGAATCCGTTACTTTGGTTGTTCCCCAAGGTGGCGATCGCGATATGGACCTGGCGGCGCCGGGTTCGCCCCTGTCCTGGCCTCTTAGGCTTACCTCCCCACCCCCGCCTCCTCAGCTCTTCCCGGGATGGCGCGACCAGGATACGGGGCTCCCAGGGCTGGAAAAGTGGCTTCGGCCTGACGTTCACCGGCCGGGGCTTTTAATACCCATTTAGGGGTTGCATCTCCCACACGGAGACGTACGGTGGCTTCTCTTGGGCGTTGGTCCGTCTTCTCCCCGGGACTTCTGCCTGGCAGTCTCCGTAGGACTGGAACTTTGCGGGTGATTTGGTCGAAGACAGGCCCTGAGCCGGCATTCTTACCCCGGGTATTTGTGTTTCAGAATGAAGACCATTCTCAGCAACCAGACTCTCGACATTCCAGAAAATGGTATGAACTTGATGTTTGCCTTTTATCTTTATTACAGCTTGTTTTATGATCTCACGAATACATTCTCTATTCTAGTCGACATCAGTCTGAAGGGACGCACAGTTATTGTGAAGGGCCCCAGAGGAACCTTGCGGAGGGACTTCAATCACATCAATGTAGAACTCAGTCTCCTTGGAAAGAAAAAGAAGAGGGTGAGCTTTTTGAGACTTCTATTTCTTGTTTGAAAGGTGGTGATTTTTAATAGCTTGAAGTTTTATTGTTTTAAAAGTTGCAGAATTGAGTTTCAGTGTTTCAACGTTAAAGTTTGATGCCAAGAATCGTGACTGATTATGATGGATTGCTTTAGCGAAATTTAATTATGAATAGAGATTATAAAGGTTAATAACTATTAGTCGTCATCTGGGACAGCTTTTGCTACCGTTAAGTTAGGTTTAACTGATATTCTCATGATTGTTTTACAAGAATCTTAGGAACTAGATCTTTTAAAATAGGTATTTTTGCTTCTGTAAAGTTTGTTGCAACTTAAGTCATTGCCATTCCTTTGTGAAATCGTGCACCTGTGATTCATAGTAATAAAAAGATACGTTATTCAGGGTTATATATTGTCTTAATGTTTATTTCAGTTGAAAATCATGTGCTTTAATTAGGGTTAATTGTAGAATGTACAGTAATTGAGTGACTAAATGAACTATTACGTTTCAAGCCTGCTTATTTCTGGAGAAAATCGTCTAGTGAAGTTTTTCTGTTACAGCTTCGTGTTGACAAATGGTGGGGAAATAGAAAGGAACTGGCTACAGTTCGCACTATCTGTAGTCATGTACAGAACATGATCAAGGGTGTTACACTGGTAAGTAGATTGGTCAATAAATAACTACTTCAGAGAGTGGGTTGTACGTGTAATTTAGTGAGATGTGTAAGCTTTATAACTTGGAAATCTGATCGGATAGGCTTTGATTACTTCTTAGTGTGACTCTCACCACTAGCACCCCTTGATACAGAAAAGATGGATCTAACTTCTGAGTTACAATCCTAAATGCATAGCTGATGTGTCTGGTCTCTTTCCAAAGAACCCACCAGCCTTTGATGTAAAGTTCATGTTGCTGTCTTTGCTGAAATGTTTATCTTGGCTTGCTACGTTTAGTCATCCTATGAAAATCAGCTCAACCCTTCTAGAGTGTACCTGATAATGGCACTGTTGTAAACCTGTCAAATTATGTTTCTTCTCTTCTATCCTTACTCAAAGGGCAGGGGGCCTATCTTGATCTTGGAAACATCAGTATCTACCATCTACCTTAGTAATTGTGTAAATGTTCATCTAATGCCAGAGATGAGAAGCTAGCGTTGCTTGCTGTGGGCCTAGGAGGTAGTAAAATAAAGGCATCATTAAGGAGCTTTACAGTCCAGTGAGGAGACACAAATGTTTGTGAATAAAATGCTTGTAAGGCTTAACACAAGTGACAGTTGTCATAAAACCTTGGCAATGAACGCTACACGAGGACTGTTAAAATTTTAAATTATTGTATAACTATAATGTAAGCATACTACAAATTTTAAAAATGAATTTCTTGTATTTCAAATTTCTCGGTGTTAATAGTTTGTTTATTTAACGTAGGGCTTCCGTTACAAGATGAGGTCTGTGTATGCTCACTTCCCCATCAACGTTGTTATTCAGGAGAGTGGGTCACTTGTTGAAATCCGAAACTTCTTGGGTGAAAAATATATCCGTAGGGTTCGGATGAGGCCAGGTATGTTCATATCCTCGTATGATTCAGAGATACATTTTTTTTTCTCTTTGTACTTGTGAAGGCTAATGTTTTGGATTGCCTATGAGTAAAACCAGATTTGTTTGGAATTGTCTGTTTTGATTACGTCTATAGTCTTTATACCAGTTGTGATTCCTGATAGGTTACACATTGAAGTAGTTTGTAGGGCATACGAGCTGTTCAATTAGTTTTGCAAACTGAAATCTTAAAAAGTAGTTTGAAAAGTGATTAATAGCATGAATTCTGCCTAGGTTCAGATTTCAGCTGACTCTCTCACCTTGAGCAAATTATCTTTGTATCCCGTTTTACGCATGTATAATTGGGAATATCTTAAGTTAAATGAGTTAAAACTGAAAAGCACAGTGTTTGTTTCATAGTAAAATACTAAAATGTTTGAAAACTTTAAAGCTTTTTGATTCATTTTGCATAGGGAAGGGTGGGGAGAAGAGAGGTTCTTAGTACCGACTTAACAGCTCTCCAACAATACTGTGTGATATCAGCTATAGAAAGACTTCATACAGAAGTTCATACAACTAAATTGTATTGTCTGAATACCATGCTGTTGTACTCCTTAATCAAACCACCTTAAGAGCGTAACCACTCTGGGACAATGATTCATTCAGGCAGCAGCAGCAGCACATAATTTTGGCCCAGATAAGACAGATTCTATAAAGCCAAAATCTCAAGAGACAGTTCTTTTGCTGTGAACTTTAAATGGGATAGATACACAGGTCTTGTTTTTGTGTTGTTGACACTATGCAAATACCTTCCACATTTTTAGGTGTTGCTTGTTCCGTATCTCAAGCCCAGAAAGATGAGTTAATTCTTGAAGGAAATGACATTGAACTTGTATCAAATTCAGGTTAGTATGTTTACTGTAAAGGGTTTCTAATTGAATAGGCCTATGAAATTTTACCTAAATCTTGTAGTTAAACATAGGGTATTCATTTTGATTAGTCTTTTTAATTTTCAAAATTAAATAAAAAGCTATCTCAAAGATACTCTGAGGTTTTAAGGATAGCATATAATAAAATGCTTAAATTTTTAGAATCTTATTTTTTTGCTGATGTAGTAACTATTTTTCTTCACTCCTGTAGCTGCTTTAATTCAGCAAGCAACGACAGTTAAAAACAAGGATATCCGAAAATTTTTGGACGGTATCTATGTCTCTGAAAAAGGAACTGTTCAACAGGCTGATGAGTAAGATTTAAGAGGTAGGTTCTTGTAGTGTCCACAGTTTACATTGTTGCTTTAGTTGGGGGTCTGTCTTTATTGAGATCGGAGTTGTAGTAATGGCAGAGCATAGAGTTGCATTCTGGAACACTAACTTTGGCAGCATAAAAGAAGGAATTGGTATGCATTTACTATTAACCAAGGAACCTTGGTGCTGCAGTGTTTTCAGGTGCTTGGCTGCTAGTGGAAAAGTTGGCAGTTACAACCCACCAGGTGCTCCACAGGCAAATGAAGCGGCAGTCTGCTTCTGTAAAGATTTACAGCCGTGGAAACCCTATGAAGTAGTTCTGTTATATGAGGTCTCTGAGTCAGAATTGATGTGACAGCAATGTTTTTGGTTTTTACTATTAACCAGCTGTGACTGAGACCGATTCTTAAAATACGGGTTATTTAGAGTTTATCTGGGCCAAGGGTATTGGATGATTGAAATTCATAGACATTCTCATTTCTTTCTGCAGTTGTCCAGCTACGGAAGCAAGGCCGGATGATTCCTAAGATTTATGGGTGGTATTTTTAAGATGCAATAAAATTCATTTATTCATTTGCGTCTTTTTATTTTTAATATCTGTCTCTATTCTAAATAGCTACTAAAGATAAGTAGTCTTCAGTAAAACTGTGCTTTCCAACTAATTCAGAAATAATTCAGAAATAAACTTACATACTAAGTACACAATAGTAGAAGGAGCATCACCTGATGAAGGTTATCTTCTGGTAAAACTTCATGGGAGAATTAACATGAATCTGATTTTTTGAAGCGAGGATATTTCAGTCACGGGGACTGATGACAAATATGTGGCTGTTCATTGGGTGTAGAACATTGGTGACATCCAGCAGATGTGTGAATTTGCTACACCATGAATTTGAATATTTGGTGAGGCAGGTATGCCCTTTACTTGTGTGTGTACCAGTAACTGAAAAACATCTATGAAGTAGAACAGTGATGCAGTTAATTTGTGTTAATGACAAATGTGGTTGCTGTCATCCAAGGTCCTTTCAATTCTGTTGTCTCCCCAGCCTCAGCCAATTTACTTCATACCCTACACCTTGTTTCTAAAAACCTTCCTTAACTCCACATGTTATGCTTTAAATACCATATGATGCTAACCTGCCTTGTCTTAATTTCTGTTTCCCACTTAAAATGCTTATCACAGCTTCTCTATTTGTTAAACAATCTCTTCTCCAGCACTGGTACATCGACTTTAGCTTGGGTAGCACTGGTTTAATAGACTGTCTCTAACTCAGTATACCAAACCAAACCATTTGAGTTGATTATAATAGTGACCTTTTAGGACAGAGTAGAATGCCTCATAGTGTTCCAAAGACTAATTCCTAGGGAAGCAGACTGCCACATCTTTCTCCCACAGAGAAGCTGGTGGGTTTGAACCTCTTATCTTTCTGTTGGTGGCCAAGTGCTTAACTACTGTGCCACCAGGGTTCCTGTCCTTTTACCCATAGCATTTGTAATTTAATACTGTTTTTTAATTGTGCTTTAGGTGAAGGTTTACAGCTCAGATTACTTTCTCATACAAAAATTTATACATGTGACCCTAGTTACTCCCCTCATAAACCGACAGCACATTCCTTTCCACCCTGGATTTCCCTTATCCCAACCAGCCCCTGTCCCTTTCTGCCTTCTCATCTTGCCTCTGGACAAGAGCTGCCCATTTAGTCTCGTGTATCTACTTGAACTAAGAAGGCTATTCTTCACAAATATCATTTTATGTCTTATAGTCCAATATATTTCTCTGAAGAGTTGTCTTTGGGAATGGTTTTAGTTCTGCATTAACAGAGTCCAGGGACCATGTTTTCTGGGGTTCCTCCAGCCTCAGACCATTAAGTCTGGTCTTTTTACTAGAATTTGAGTTCTGCACCCTCCTTTTCTCCTCCTTCAGGGACTGTCCATTGTGTTCCTTGTCAGGGTGGTCATTGGTGGTAGCCAGGCACCATCTAGTTCTTTTGGTCTCAGGCTGATGCAGTCTCTGGTTTATGTGGCCCTTTCTGTCTCTTGGGCTAATATTTTCCTTGTGTCTTTGGTGTTCTTCATTCTCTTTTGCTCTAGGTGGGTTGGGACAAATTGATGCATCTTAGATGGCTGCTCACCAGCTTTTAAGACCCCAGACACCACTCACCAAAGTGGGATGCAGAACATTTTATTAAACTGTTAATGCCAGTTGACCTAGATGTCCCCTGAAACCATGGTCCCCAGACCCCTTCACATGCTACACTGTCCCTTGAAGTGTTTGGTTGTGTTCAGGAAACTTCTTAGCTTTTGGTTTAGTCCGGTGGTCTGACTTGCCCTGTATTGTGTGTTGTCCTTCCCTTCACCTTAGATAATTCTTGTCTACTATCTAGTTAGTGAATTCCCCTCTCCCTCTCTCCCCACCCACATAACCATCAAAGAATGTTTTTTTTCTGTGTTTAAACCTTTTCTTGAGTTCTTATGATGGTGGTCTCATACAATATTGGTCTTTTTGCGATTGACTAATTTCAGTATAATGTCTTTGAGATTCCTCCATGTTATATTTCATGGATTCACCGTTCCTTATCGTTGTGTAGTATTGTGTGAGTATTACCATAATTTGTTATCCATTCGTCCGTTGATGGGCATATAGATTGTTTCTTTTTGCTATTGTGAAAAATGCTGCAGTGAACATGGGTGTGCATGTATCTGTTCGTGTGATGGCTCTTCTCTAGGATATATCCCAAGGAGTGGGATTGCTGGGTCCTGTGGTACTTCTATTTCTAGCTTTTTTTAAGGAAGCGCCAAATCAATTTCCAAAGTGGTTATACCATTTTACATTCCCACCAGCAGAGTATAAGTGTTCCAGTCTCTCCACAACCTTTCCAACATTTATTATTTTGTATTTTTTGGCTTAGAGCTAGCCTTGTTGGGGTGAGATGGTATCTCATTGTAGTACTGATTTGCGTTTCTCTAATGCCTAATGATTGTGAGCATTTCCTCATGTATCTGTTAGCCACCTGAATGTCGTCTTTGGTGAAGTGCCTGTTCGTATCCTTTGCCCACTTTTTAATAAGGTTATTTGTCTTTTTCTGGTTGAAGTTTTGCAATATCTGGTAGATTTTAGAGATTAGACCCTGGTCGGATATGTTGTAGCCAAAAATTTTTTCACAGTCTGTAGGTTGTCTTTTTACTCTTTGGTGAAGCCTTTTGATGAGCATAAGTGTTTGACTTTTAGGAGCTCCCAGTTATCTAGTTTCTCTGCTGGTGTTTGTGCATTGTTAGTTATGTTTTATATTCTGTTTATGCCATGTATTAGGGCTCCTAGTGTTGTCCCTATTTTTTCCTCCCTGATGTTTATAGTTTTACATGTTTATATTTAGGTCTTTGATCCACTTTGAGTTTGTTTTTATGCATGGTATGAGGTATGTCTTTCATCTCTTTGCAGGTAGATATCTAGTTATGCCAGCATCATTTGTTAAAGAGACTGTCTTTTCTTCATTTAATGGACTTTGGGCCTTTGTCAAATATCAGCTGCTCATAGGTGGTTGAATCTATGTGTGGATTCTCAACTCTGTTCCATTGGTCTATGTTGTACCAGTACCAGGCTGTTTTGACTACCATGGCGGTACAATAGGTTCTAAAATCAGGTAGTGTGAGGCCTCCCACTTTGTTCTTGAGTAATGCTTTACTTATCCGAGGCCTCTTCCCTTCCCATATGAAGTTGGTGATTTGTTTCTCTATCTCATTAAAAAATGTCGTTGGACTCCATAGACACATCCAAACTCCATGAGGGACTGAATTGCTGGGTGGAGGGCTGTGGGGACCATGGTCTGGGAGAACATCTAGCCTAATTGGCATAACATAGTTTATAAAGACAATGTTCTACATTCTACCTTGGTGAGTAGCATCTGGGGTCTTAAAAGCCTGGGAGCAGCCATCTAAGATACTCCACTGGTCTCACCGCTTTGGGAGCAAGGGAGAATGAAGAGAACAGGATACAAGGAAAACATTAGTCCAAAGGACTAATGGACCACAGCTACCAAGGCCTGCACCAGACTGAGTCCAGTACAGCTAGATGGTGTCCAGCTACCACCACTGACTGCTCTGACCAGGATCACAACAGAGGGCTCTGGACAGAGCTGGAGAAGGATATAGAACAAAATTCTAACACACAAAAAGAGACCAGATTTACTGGCATGACAGAGACTGGAGAAACCCTGAGAGTATGGCCCACAGACACCCTTTTAGCTCAGTGGTGAAGTCACTCCTGAGGTTCACCGTTCAGCCGGGGATTAGCCCCATAAAACAAAACGGGACTAATGAGGCACAGCAGTCCAGGGACAAGGACTAGAAGGCAGGAGAGAACAGGAAAGCTGGTGATAGGGAACCCAAGGTTGAGTAAGGACATCGTTGACATGTCGTGGGGTTAACCATTGTCATAGGGCAACGTGTACTAACTGTTTAATGAAAAACTATTCTGTAAACCTTCATCTAAAGTACAACAACAACAAAAAGAATTATGTGAGATCAAATTGACAACAGCAACTAAAAAGGTTTGATGGGAAGCCTAGGGGACAGTGAGTTGAAGACAATGGTGATGGGATAATTTGGAAAAGGATAGTGAGAATAGCAGCACAATTAGAAGAACGTAATCGATCTCACTGAATTGTACATGTAGAAAGTTTTGAAATGGTGTATCTTTGGCTATGTATATTTCCACCAAAAAAAAAAAAGTCATCCAAGGTCGAGAAGGGAGAGTGTTGACATGTCGTGGAGTTGTTAACCAATGTCATAAAACAATATGTGTACGGACTGTTTAATGGGAAACAATTCTGTAAACCTTCACCTAAAGTACAATTAAAAAAAAAAAGTGGTTGGAATTTGAATTGAGATTGCATTGTATATCGAGATTGCTTTGGGTAGAATAGACATTTTCACAATGTTGAGTCTTCCTATGCATGAGCAAGGTATGTTTTTCCACTTATGTAGGTTTCTTGGTTTCTTGCAGTAATGTAGTTTTCTTTGTATAGGTCTTTTACGTCTCTAAATTAGATTTATTCCTAAGTATTTTATGTTGGGGGCTATTGTAAATGGTATTGATTTGGTGATTTCCATTTGGAAGTTCTCTTTGTTGGTATAGAGGAATCCAACTGATTTTTGTATGTTTATCGTGTATCCTGATACTTTGCTGAAAGCTATTAGTTCCAGTAGTTTCCTTGTGGATTCTTTTGGGTTTTAAGATCATATTATCTGCAAATAGGGAAACTTTTACTTCTTCCTTACCAATTTGGATGCCCTTTATTTCTTTTCCTAGCCTAATTGCTCTGGCTAGGACCTCGAGCACAATGTTGAATAAGAGAAGTGATAAAGGGCATTCTTGTCTGGCTCCCATTCTCAAGGGGAATGCTTTCAGACTATCTCCATTCAGGATGATGTTGCCTGTTGATTTTGTATAAATGCCTTTTATTATGTTGAGGAATTTCCCTTCTAATTTTGGGGAGAGTTTTTATCATGAATGGGTGTTGGACTTTGTCAAATGCCTTTTCTGCATCAATTGATAAGATCCTGTGGTTCTTTTG